GGAATACTGACATGGCTCAATCAGGATGACTTATTTTTAGGCTGATGATAGCCACATGAAGATGATGGCAACGGTGGAGGACAAGGAGCAGAAAGAGAAGAGGGCAATGAAACGCACCCCTTGCAGTGATGAAACAGCTTTCTCCCCAGTGGGTGAAACTTGTACTGCAGTAGTCAAACTTAGCTTGTAAATTGCTTGTCCCTCAGAAATTCTTTTGCCCTTAGAAGCAGTGTTAAACATACAGCGAAGAGGCTCACATAGCCAAAACAAGCCTAGCAATCCTGTGCACTTTTTACACTAGTGGAACTGCTTTTGCCACTTCTGCCAATGATTTACAACATTGTTATTTAAATGGGAAATGCATCTTACGTCCATACCAGAAGCCAGACAGGTAACTCTAGCCCTCAATGCATTCTTTTGGAGCTCTAGGATAGCAATCCCCAACCCTCCTGGAACCAATGACCAATTGTGGAAGACAGTTTTTCCGCAAACTGGGGAGACGTGAGAAATGGCGAGAGGCTGTTAATACAGATGAAACTTCACTTGCTGGCCTGCCACTCACCCTCTGTGGTTATCTGATCCTCCTGGTTCAGATACAGGTCCATGGCCTGGGGTTGCGGACCCCAGCTCTAGGAAATCCTTTCCCCTCTCCTAATGGGAAGCAGGGGAAGTGGACCCTCAGCATACAGGGTAGACAGCCCCAGGCTCCTACAGTTTATAAGGCCAGTCTGCAGAAGCAAGTGTGTACTTTCCATCTGAAGTTTCTAGGCTGAATGTCCCTTGTGTATTGTGATCTGGTGTTGCCCACAAGGCAGATGGGAACTTAAAAGATTCCTCCCCTGTTGTGGTAAAAACTTGCAAGTTCCTCAGATCAAAGTAACATAAAATATAAGATGCCTGAGACTTCAAAGAAAGAAGGTAATATATACTTCAATTTTTCAAATAAGAAAATAAACATACAAAAAACAAAGCAATTGTATATTTCACAGAGCATCAAAGACAAAAAGACGTTTTAACAACACAAAACAATATAATCGAAGCAAAAGTCCTCTCCTTATTATGGGTTATCATGTTTGGAAAACTGGTCTTGCTTTCAGATGTCCTCTTTACTTTGTATTTTCCTTCATGTCTTATCAGATATAGCCCTTCACTGTTTTCTCTCACTAATAATGAAGGCTTTAAAATGTCCTCAAGCAATAAACATAGATTAAGTGTAACTTGGTAAACAGTACTTAGCTTTTGCCCATAACTCTTTATTGGTGTCTCATCAGCAGATTTCTAAGAGATCTTTAATGATTCTCTAATAAACAGAACTCCTAAGCTAAATCACTGTTTTAGAGATATCCTGAGATGAGTCCTAAATGTTGTTTTATCTTAGGAATATGAAATTAAGGTGCTTATGACAAAATGTTTTTCCCTTAAATTATCACCTTTAAATGGGAAGCATGTTAACAATAGGAGTAAGAGACTTCAGCTTTGGATTCTGTCATTTGCTTTATGACACTGGATAACTTTTAAACTCCCCAAGCTTTAGTTTCTTCATGGTAAAATGGGAAGAAAGAATTACTTATCTTGCAAAATTGTTTTTAGGATGCAATGAGATTATTTACTTAAAAGCAAAACTTCATGCAGTGTGTACCAAACTTCAGATATTCAAAAAGGATTGTCATTTTTATCATTTTCATTGACATTATTATAAACTGTGGTTTTTAAATTGTCTACCTGTGGCTGCCAAACAGATCTAATTATAAATTGAGTGATCAGGCTCTAGTTGTGGGATGCAATAAATTTTTGATAAACAAAAGGGCAATTTTTAAAATGAAGATTTAAACTAATGTACAAAACACATCTACATAGGAAAGGAATTTAATTCATTAAGGCCCTTCTATGTTGCAGATAGAAGCTGATTGCCAAAGAATTGATGCTTTTTTACTGTAGTGTTGAAAAAGACTCTTGAGAGTCCCTTGGACTGCAAGGAGAATCAACCAGTCTATCCTAAAGGAGATCAGTCCTGGGTGTTCATTGGAAGGACTGATGTTGAAGCTCAAACTCCAAAACTTTGGCCACCTGATGTGAAGAGCTGACTCATTTGAAAAGACCCTGAGGCTGGGAAAGATTGAGGGCAGGAGGAGAAGGGAATGACGGAGGATGAGATGATTGGATGGCATTACTAACTCAATGGACATGAGTTTGGGTGAACTCCGGGAGTTGGTGATGGACAGGGAGGCCTAGTGTGCTGGAGTTCATGGGGTCACAGTTGGACACGACTGAGCGACTGAACTGAACTGATGTTGCAGATAGCAGCGGCAGCTCCAGGTGGCTTAGACAAATTTGCCTGCAATGCAGGAGACATGGGTTCAATCCCTGGGTCAGGAAGATCCCCTGCAGAAGGAAATGGCAACCCACTCCAATATTCTTGCCTGGAGAATTCCACAGACAGATTACTGGTGGGTTACTGGTGGGCTACTGTCCATGGGGTCGCAAAGAGCTGAACACAACTGAGTGACTAACATACTGCCATCTAAATAGCTCCATGTCTAAACCATTCCCTGCATAATAAACATACAATCTAAGTGTGAAACTGCATAGCTGCTTTACAAACACAGTATTCAGGAAATATGCACAGTTTCATCTTCAAATGTGATGATGATCCATAGGTCTCAGATATTTAGGAATTTTAGTGTCACGTTTACCAGGTACTAGATACTAAAAGACGCTTAGTCTTTGGAAGGAAAGTTATGACCAACCTAGACAGCATATTAAAAAGCAGAGCCATTACTTTGCCAACAAAGGTCCATCTAGTCAAGGCTATGGATTTTCTAGTGGTCATGTATGGATGTGAGAGTTGGACTGTGAAGAAAGCTGAGTGCTGAAAAATTGCTTTTGAACTGTGGTGTTGGAGAAGACTCTTGAGAGTCCCTTGGACTGCAAGGAGATCCAACCAGTCCATCCTAAAGGAGATCAGTCCTGGGTGTTCATTGGAAGGACTGATGCTGAAGCTGAAACTCCAGTACTTTGGCCACCTCATGCGAAGAGTTGACTCACTGGAAAAGACCCTGATGCTGGGAGGGATTAGGGGCGGGAGGAGAAGGGGATGACAGAGGATGAGATGGCTGGATGGCATCACTGACTCGATGGACATGGGTTTGAGTAAACTCTGGGAGTTGGTGATGGACAGGGAGGCTTGGCATGCTGCGATTCATGGGGTCACAAAGAGTCGGACACTACTGAGCGACTGAACTGAACTGAGATACTGTGCTCACAATATTTAACACTCATTGCATCCCACTGAAAAACTATTTTATAAAAACTAAAATCATACTTTCAAATGATAATAAACTTGCTCAGAGCTATTAAAATACTAGTCAGAGGGATGAAAGAATGTTAATGGACAGTCCCAAGTAAGAAAATATACATTATTTGGTTGTAAAGTTATGGGCAATGTGTAGCTGTAGAATAATGACACTGTCTATTATCAGATTGTTTTTGTGGCAAGTAGTAAGTATACAAAAATGAGGATCAGGACACAGGCCACAAAAAAAGTCATTTTAAAGAAAGATAAAAATTCAGAATCTTTGATTATATTACAATGTGCTAATGATAAGGACTAACAGTTATTAAGTTCCTACTTCTTAAGCACTTTGTACATATGAGTGTATTTAGCTCTTGCAACTACTCTGTGAGTGGTACTATTGCTTTTTCCGAGTTATTCAAGAGGGATTGAGGCTCACTGTGTTTGGATGGCTTGCTGTATAGGATAAAACAAGGATATGTAGATAGCTCTCACTATTCTTGAGAAGGATTTATTTTATTTATCCATGGATCTCATAGTCCATTCAACCAAGTTTTGCTAGATATATACCTGGAAGCAAACAAAATATGTGTACTATCTAAATCATGTCAAGTGTGAAGCAATATTTCACTTAAACAACTATTATAGGAATTTTCATTTTTACCATCTCAGGAAATTCCAGTGAAATTTGGACATAATGAAACTGAACCTAACCAGAGTTGACCAGTAGCCTGATCACAAGCCAATCCTATGCTTTTTAGGCACTGCCATCAGGGCCAGTGAGGGTGGTCTATACCTTCTGGATCTCCTCTTATACTATCACTTTTGCTCTCTATTTTCTTTCCTTAGTTCTTTCACTCATACACATGCATACTCGTAATGGTTATTACTTCAAACTAAATAATAGCTGTAGTTGTTATTACCTTTTATAAGCAACTTATATCAATTGGAAAAATGAATTACAAGTTGTTTGTGGTTACTGGTAAAATAATGTTATGCTTATTGCTATATATATATATATATTTTTTCTTTTTACACACACACACACACACACACACACACACACACACACATATATCTATATATGCTCAGTGGTAAAGAATCCACCTGCAATGCAGGAGTTTCAGGAGCCAAGTGTTGGATCCCTGGGTCGGGAAGATCTCTGGGAGAAGGGGCATTGGAGCCCACTCCAGTATTCTGGGAGAATCCCATGGACAGAGGAGCCTGGTGGGCTACAGTACCACAGGGTCACAAGGAGTTGGACATGACTGAAGTGACTTATGTACACATGCATTGGAAGAATGCCAGAGAACATGGGAAGGTAGACCCTGATAACCACAGAAAATTCTAATCAAGTTATTAAAAAATATAAACTCATGTGATTTTGAGCAAATGTAGATTGCTTTGAATGTATCATTTGCACAAGGTCTTGAAAACACCAGAGCAACTTTTAGCCCTAAAAATTATGCTTCTCCTGGTTTAACAAATTTTTCACTACACTGCGCTTCAGATGAATTCTACCTGGCTCCAAATTCAAAGTCGTGCTCCAGAGGACAAAGCTCTGCCATATTTAAGAAAATTCAATATAATTTTATGCAGTGTCCACAGCCAAGGCCATGGTCTGTGAAAAGAAAGGAATCCCGTGAGAACTTTCCAGATAGCACAGTAAGGCGTTTGGTTCATAACCAGTTCAGACAGTGGAACACGGTCACAGTGACTGCAGAGGCGGCCCTTTGTAGCCAACCAAGGTCACATGAGGTGATGGATCACGCTGGGGCTATCAGGGAGGAGAGACCGACAGGGAATCACATAGTTTAACGTGGTTCAGTGTCCCATGTTTCTCATGGTTTTCTAAATAGTCTGAGAGTGCTAGGTCCAAATTACACAAGGACATTGTAAATGTAGCATAGATAGACTACAGAACACTCAGGGACATATGTACAGCTCAGTAAAGAGCTCAGGTTTCAGTTTGAAGATCTGGTTTAGTTGGGAGATATGTACTAATCCTATAAATTATCAGTGAAATGAGGTTAGTATATGCACTTTCATATAGATGTAAAGAAAATCATATGTAATAAAACTCATAAAAATGTTCTGTAAGATATATTCTTTTTATAATTATTGCTATTGCCCTTATCCCTTTATTCATACTTCTTATACTCTTGAACACTATAGATATCAAATACAGTAGTGAATAATTAGTGAACTTTCTGTGCATAAACATTTTTTATCATTGGACTGCTTCCAATTATTCCCAAGAGAAGACAATCAGAGCAAAAAACAAACACATGAAAAGAGAAAAGTATGTCTGAGGAACTGAAATCACATTTTTATATAACAAAAAGTGATGACAGAGAGCACTAAATACTTAAATTCAGGCATAATGCTATGTTTCCATCTGATCACTGTAAGTGATCACTATATTAATGATAAAGAAAAAACAGAAAAAATGATAAGCTTTCTTACTAAAATAGAAATGCTTTGGAGAGTGAAATGGGCTATGAGGTTAATAAACTAATCTCTAAGTCTACCTTGTGGATGAGTTTTAACACTATTGAACTTACATCTGCCACTAAATTCAACACAAAAAATTGAAGAGACAATCAAAGATATTAACCATAACCAAATTATACTCAAATCCATTCAAACTCTAAAATCCTAGAATCTTAGAATTAACCTCTTGGTATAGGTCATAAATTCCTCATGGAAGAGGGGCTCTTCTTCCTGTACCCAGGTATGGGTGAAATTGGAAATAAATAGTCTGTTGAAAATCAGTTCCTGACAGAGCAAAGTTTGCTTTCATAATTGCAGCAAAAGAAGTCAGTTCACCAAGTCAATGCTTCATGTGTGTACAGTATTATTTTCAGAAAAAAAAAGTCTGAGTCCACATTATCTAAATTATTATCCACATTATTTAAATTGATATGGAAACAAGAAACTGTCAAGCAAGTTATATAACAACTAACAACATTGCACTTTCTGTATATGAAATCAATATTTAAATAACTTATTTTTCTCCATTGCTGTTCTTAAACATTGTAAGTAGCTGTAATATACCAGTACTGATATGTTCTTGCGATTACTTCAGCCCAAGAAAGCTGTGTATTGTTTTAAAAATTTAAAAATTATTGTGATGATTCATTTAGCAAAAAGAGGTGGACAGGAAGGTTTTCCTATGTATCAAAACTTGTCTATAATTATGTCATCATGTACCTATAAAAGAAAGTAAATAAATTTCTTCAGTTGAAAAAAAAAGAAAGAAAAAAGGAGCATCCTTACTTTAAGGACAAAAGGAAACCAAAATGAATCCCAACAAATGGGTCTTGATAAATTTTCCTCAGTTTACTATAAACCTTGTACTCCTTATACTATCCTATTTCTACATGTCTGCCCACACTTCATCCAACCTAACATAAAAGTGCACCTTCACCTTTTTGGGGTAGTTCCTCAGAGGGATCTGAGACGCTGTCTCATGGGCTGCACTCCTCAGCAATATTCCTAAGTAAATTTAACTCACAACGTTTAGGCTGAGTGTTTTCTTCAGGGGACATTTTCCATCTGTCATATTTGTACATGGCTGCCACTTTTCATCAAATCTTTCATAAAAACATACAGGTCTGTTTCTTTGGGTTTTCATTTCCTTCAAAAGGCTCCTGTGTCACATAAAACTTCTATTTAATAAATTCCTATGCTTTTCTTCTGTTAATCTGTCCTTGTCAGTTTAATTTTCAGACAGGGACCCAAAGAGGGTTGACTAGCCCTTTGATTTTTCTCTTCTGCTGGGTCTTGGTTTAATGATACTTTCTTCTCAAACTCCATAACTTGCTAAGGGAACATGACAAGACTAACTTGGCCATGTTCTTTGGTTATATTCTTAACGTACTTAGAATCAGACAGAGCCTTTGGCATTTTAAAAGGATTATCTTTTACTACCTATTACTTGAAAGGACAAACATGATATCAGATCCTAGTTTCTTGTCAAACTCATCATCAGAATGAGTACTTTTTGGGTTTTCTATTAATACATGATTAGTGGTAATCAAAACACAAAACAGAGAGGAGATATATGTAAGCACAACTCCCCTGTGACTAGGTTTGAAAAAGATAAAATCTCTTTGTGCAGCTGGTAAAAACATGTTAGAACAGCTGCTATTGCCCAGAGGGTGTTTGATGTGCATTCTGGGGGTAAAATAAAGGAACTGACTTATGATTAATGAGTAATGTATTACAGGAAATGAGCTTGGCCAGAATAGCTTTCACATTTCCCTTAGCTTGCCTAAGTTCTAGATTTGCTTCCTAACTCTCTGCTCTGACCTCCCTTTACTTAGGGCATTTAATTTAGTAAGCTTGAAATTATAAATTCTTCTTCTGCCTTTTTGAGATCTAAAAATTTTAAGAGCCTCTTGCCAGCCTTACAACTCAGGAATATCTTCCTCAATGGCATGAGGGCTATTTCTTTGAAACGGAATCATCAAAGAAGCCAGCCCTATCTTCCACTCACTGTGGGAAGGTAGTAGCATAGTTTCTATGGGCCATGATTAGCAAACACAGGTGGCCTAACCACAGAGAAAAACATTTGCAAACTCAGAAATAATTCACCCATTGATCAACCTCTCCCCTAACTTCCTGCGACAGGACTTCTCCACTAGTCCGCCCCAGAGATTAAAGGGCCTCCTACCATTTGTCTCAGCAGAGTTGATTTCGGACTTTGTTCTCGCCTCTCTCCCCTATTGCAATAGCTTTGAATAAAGTTTCCCATGCCTGTTTTACTTTGCCTAATGCAATTTTTCTTCGCCAAGATTTGATCAGGAGTTTTTTGTTTTGTTTCGTTTTTTAATTCGTTTACAGCTTAAAATTGGGAGGATCCATACAAGTCTTTCCATTCCAGTCATCAGTCAGCAGAGCATATCCACAGATAGTTGCAGGTAGTGACATTAACGGATCGTATTTGGGAATTCCCTGGTGGTCAGTGATTAGGGATGTGCAGACTGACTGCCAAAGTTCTGGGTTCAATCCCTGGTCTGGAAACTAATATCTCACAAACTGTGTGGTGTGGCCAAAAAAAAAAAAGAATGGCATTTGAAAAATATATTTTAGAAAAGATCATAACTGTCCATAGAGTAGATGTAGCCTCTCAGGAATACCCATGATTGTTTAGAAATAAATCAGAAAATTCTGTCAAAGGTACAAATGGTGGCACATCTACAAAGCTGAGTGGTCCCATATTTTAAAGCTAACCTTTGAAACTTGAAAAGTTGAAATATCAATAATCACAAAATTAGCAACGATAGCAGAGGAAGAAGAAAAAAAAGCAATCTGACTCTGTCCAGTGTGGAATTTACATCAACACCAGACACTGAATCCATTAATGAGCATCAAAGTAAAGCACTGAGAAGAGACTTACTCATAGTTAAGATGCTCAGCTAAAATTTAAACTCAGATCTAACAGGAATTCAATCATTAAGGCAATGAAGACTATTAATTCAGCAAGTGGACCCAGCCTTCTAGGATGCAGGAAGCCAAGATCTTTTGCTAAAAAAAATGGCGGAGGCGGAGGGGAGGAAATAAACGTTTAAAGTGACAGTCTTGGAAGCTGCTTCAAGAGAAGCTCCCTATCCAGGTGAGCTATGTCTTTCACTGGAGCAGGAACCAATCCCAAGGATGCCACTGAATTCATGAAGGTAGAATCAGGGTGTAAGCTCGGTAGGAACAGCAGTTATATTGTGGAAAGGAGGGGAAAATGTGGGACATAAGAAAATGCCAGAACTTGACTAAAGGAAGTTATTGCTTAATGGTATATCTGGATTTTAGAGCCAGATAAACTTTGATTGAAATCCAGTCGCCTCTTTTTATTATTGGGATGAAACTAAGCATGCTAACTTAACTCAGTTTCATTATTGTTTCCTGTAAGTTAGAATTTATAACATTTGCTCTACTGGGTTGCTATAAAGATGAGAGGTACTATATACAAAAATATCTAACACAGTATCCACCCCCATAGAGTAGGTTCTCAACAGATGGTAGTAGAAGTGGTTTTGTTATACAGATTTTCCTTGACTTACAAAGGAAGTCCTTAAAACCCACCTTAACTTGGAAATATCATCAGACAAAAATGCTTTAACATGACTAACCTATTGAATATCATAGCTTAGTCTAGCCTACCTCAAACATGCTCAGAACACTTACATTAGTTTATGGTTGGGCAAACTCATCTAACACAAAACCTATTTTGTAATATATTGATGAATATTTCATGTAATTTATTGACTAATGTGCTGAAAGTGGGGCTTCCCTGGTGGCTCAGTGGTAAAGAATCTGCCTGCCAATGCAGGAGACGTGGGTTCGAGTCCTGGGTTGAGATGATCCCCTGGAGAAAGAAATGGCAACTTACTCCAGTATTCTTGCCTGGAGAATTCCATGGACAGAGAAGCCTGGTAGGTTATAGTCTATGGGGTCACCCACAACTTAGAGACTAAACAACAACAAGGATACTGAAAGTGAAAGGCAAAATGGTTCTTTGGGATACAGAATGGGTTTTAAGTGTACTGCATATCACTAATTCAGAAAAAGACCAAAATTCAAAGATAAAAGTGATGTTTCTACTGAATGCTTATAGCTTTTGCACCATTGTAAAGTCAAAAAAATCATAAATCAAACAACTTTAATTTGGGAAATTATTATTATAGACTTGTATAAAGTATCATATCCTTGAAAACAGAAGAGTCAGAAAGATAAGTTTCAAAAGTTAAATGAACTTTTCCATACATAGTAGAAATA